TTTCTGATATTTCGGTTTAAACCGAAATATTATACTATAATTTATATTATATTAATTAATAATTATTAATATTAAATAATTTTTAAAAAAAAAAACCCCTATGGCCTATTGCCTTATTCCTCTCTCTTTCATCTTTCTCCTACTTTCTCTTGGTCTTTCATCTTCCTCTTGGCTCTTTCATCTTCCTCTTCTCCTCTTCCGCCAGCCAGAAGCAGCAGCCGCGCCGTCCGCCAAAAGCAGCAGCAGCTAGGGCTAGCAAGCGGACGGGGAGAGGGAATTTGACATGGGACCGAGATTGAGGGGACAAAAATAGGTCCCATCCCATCCCACTATATATACGGGATGGGATGGGATTTGGGGGGACGGGACGGGACGGCATGGGACGGGATATTTTTAAAAAAAATATTTATATATTTTTATTGAAATTATACGTCTTTAGCTAATAAATTTTAAATTTAATTTTTGATTTTCAAATATCAAAATAAATTTTCAAATTTAAAATTTCAATTTTCAAATTTTAAGATTCATGTTTCAAATTTCAAGTTTCAACTTTAAAGTTTTAAATTTCAAATTTGAGAAGTTTAAATTTATAATTTAAATATTTTAAAGTAATGTAAATTGTAAACTTTAAATTAAGTATTTTAAAATTAGTTTAGTACTTTAGTATATATTTAATTGTATATATTAAAATTAAAATTCAAAACAATAATTGTATAAAAAAAAACTTGAACAAAAGTTAAAACCTTCAAATTTATTCAAAAGAACTTAGAAGTTACAACTTACAATTAACAAATATTAGTGGAGTAACTAATCTACGCAACCACCTTTTAGGAAGGGTTCTGTTCCAATAAGTTCTCATACTTAAAACTAATATTTGTTACAGATATTAGATGAGTAACTGTTTTTACGCAGCCACCTTCTAGGAAAGGTTCTGTTTAAATTAGTTCTCCTGTTTTCTCCTTTAAAATTTAATTCTAATTGTCGCATCATATCAATGGTGATATCCTCCGGTGTTGGCAAACTTGTTAGAAATTCTTGTGCCTCTAATTCATCATCACTGCATTCAATTTGTATTTTGATCCAACTTGCTTGTTTTTTACTTAACTTTGGCAAATTGTTATTCCTCCTTTCGGCATTGGACTAGTCTCTAAATAAAACTGTTGTTTCCAAACTGTCTTCCGCCAATGAATGTCTATGATCACCAATTTGAAACCTTACCGCATTGAAAGCAGCCTCCGATGCAACTGATGAAGCTTGAATAGCTAGAACATCACGAACCATTTTGCTCAAAGTTGGAAATGCATCGCTTCGCCTACTCCACCATCCTAATAAATCTTCATTGACATCTTTGATTTCCAATACTTCTAAAGATTGATTAAGATATTCTTCAAAATCATCACGGTTAGTAGAATTAAGACCAAGAAAATCTCGCATATAACATGAAATTGGAAGTGACGAATCAATCTCAACATTAGAAGTTTGACCAACTTCTCCTTGAAAATTTTCAATAGTTCTATATTTTTCATACAAAACTTTTGCTTCTACTTTTATGCTAGACTTACACGCTTGACAATTTGGAATTTCTTCCGGTAAAATTTCTAAAGTTTCATAAAAAGTGTTAACAAGGCCTTGCACACCTTGTAATTTATAAGCAGGATGAAGTAAAGTAGTCGTTAAAAAACTCGAGAAATAGAAAAAAAAAATTTAAATTTTTCAATCATACCTTCAATTGCAACTCTAAATTTATCTATTTTTTTTATATTTACAAAATTGAATTGAAACAGCACAAATATTTATTAATACGGATGAAATAGTAGGATAATAAATTCCCGAAAACATGGTAGTAGCATCATAAAAAAGTCTAAAAAATTGTAATAGTTCTTTAGTTTCTTCTCAATCTTCATCACAAATTCTATCATATGGGTCAGCATTATGAGCATTAAAAACCATTTGTATGGGTCTTCTATATTTATAAGCAAGTGAAAGCATTTCGAAAAGAGAATTTCACCTTATTTTAATATGTTTTGGAATTTTTCTAGGTGACAATTCACATAGTGAACAATGCTCATTAAATTACCTAATTCTAGCAGCATTGTTTGTATGAAAAATCCAGGTAACAGCATATTCAACTTTTACGCTACCACAATCAAATAATGAAATATCATCTTGTACAACTAAATTTAATATATGTGCAACACATCTAACATGAAAAACATTATTGTCAATTGGACATAATCTAACTTTTAACATTTTAGTAGCGTTTGTATTATTAGATGCATTATCTAATGCGACAGACAATATTTTATCTATAATCATGTAATAATCTAAAACACTTAAAATATTTAAAGCTAAATATGCACCAGTTTTTTTCTCTATACATAGTTTATAACTTATAATGCTTTTTTACTAATTCCAATTATGATCAATCCAATGTGCAGTAATAGTTAAATAATCATTTCCATTAACACTACGACCCATGTCCGAAGTTATAGACACTCTACTATCTAATATGCTAAATAGACAACGAAGAAATTGACAATGTTTACCTTGATATTCAAAAACATCAGATTTTACAGTATTTCTTGAAAAGCCTCTATAATCCGGATTATAAGTTTGTTGAATATATTCAACAAAACCAGGATTTGAAGGAAAACTACAAGGCAAATCACAAACATAAACCATTTTAGCTAAATTTTCCCGATCTAATTCCTTATTATATTTACGTTGTGTTATTGGACCAGCGGGGTTAAAAGGATCTAATGTTCCTTGAACCATGTTAGAAGCCTCTATCGATGCATTACCGGTAATATCTAATTCATTAATTGAAATTTCCTTTTTTCTATTGGCTAATGTTTTAGCTTCTTTATATTGAATCGGCACACAAGATAACAAATGTCTATTTAATCCCCCCGTTCCACCTTGACCCCCACCTTGTTTATGTTTAAAAGGTTGCTTACACTTGTTACAAATAGCAACACTATTTTCTTTATCGAAAGTCATAAATTGCCACACAATAGAAGTTTTAGGTCGTTGATATTTCATCTTCTATCTTGTAGGAGGTATAAGGGGTGGATGTCCAATATTATGCTCCGGTAAATTGATAGTCTCATTTGGAACTTCTGTCATCGGACTAGTAGGTGTTTCTTCTAACTCGTCTTCTCCCAAATCAACTTCTACTTCTTAACCTGAATTTTCATCAACACTAGGATTAATATTACCATAACGTCGTTCCAACTTTCGTGATCGAGTTGAACATTTGAATCAATATTATAAGGAGTATCATCAACATAAGTAGAATCATTTATGTTAAATCTAACTCTACTCGTTGATTTAGATGAGGTACCACCACTTTTACTACTCTTTTTTTCTTTACTATTTTTTTTACCAAAATTAAATAATTTAAAAAGTCTACTTTCTTCGTTATCTTGTGCTTTCTCTTTTCCTTTACTGCTATTTTTTTTGCTAGAACTCATACTTAATTTTATTTATATATATATATATATATATATATATATATATATATATATATATAAAGTGTGATATAAAAATAACAATAACACAAAAATAAAGACGAAAAATAAAATATAAATATTATTGAACGAATGTACCAAACGTCTGCGTTAATAGCAGACGTTATACCGATTGTTGAAGCTTGTGATTTGTTGTAACTTGTAATTTGTAACTCCAAGTCTCCAACCAATACTCTATAACAAATATGAGATAATATAATTATATTTATTGGTATAATATGAAAATTTTGAATTGAAAATTGAAATATATGGATTCTAAAGTTTTAAAAGTAGGGTGATGGTAGGGGGTGTTTGGGAACACTAAAAGGGGCATAAATTCGTTGGGGGGGGGGGAGGGCACTAACCGTTTCCCCGACGGATCTAAATGGTTAATTTTTTAAAATTTAAAAAAAAAGGGGGGGGGGGATCCCGCGAACCAGCCGGTTCAACCGGGTCGACCGGGACGCGGGGGTGAACCGGCCCCTCACCAGTCCCCTCATCCCCCACCCCTTAAACCCTGGGGGATGGACCGAGTTCGGAACGGGGTGGGTCGGGACACGGGCCGGGGCGGGCCATCTCGATCCCCCTGCCACCCCTAGCAGTAGCTGCGCTGTCCACCAGAAGCAGCAACAGTCGCGCCGTCAAGCAGCCAGCAGCAGTCGCGCCTCTGTCATCAAGCAGTCAGCAGCCGCGCCATCCGCCATCAAGCAACCAGCAGCCGTGCCGTCTCAGGCCCATTAAAAAACCGAATCGAATTAATAAAAACTGAACCGAATCGAAATATTTTGATTCGGTATTCGGTACACAATTTACAAAAACCGAAAAAACTGGAAAAAAAACTGAAACCGAATCGAAATACCGAATGCCCACCCCTAGGTTTGGGTTTAGGTCATGGTCTATGGGCTAGGGATATGGATTGGAGGTTGGAAATATTTATGGGCAAATGACAGAAATCACATACTTTTAAATTAAAATTACTATTTTTCCCTTATAAATTTATAATTACAAAAATCTCTTAAATTGGTACAATAATATAAGCGTTGATACATTCATGTTACGCGCGAGATACATTAATCGTCAAGTAAGATACAATACATTGTATACATGATACACTAATCTGATATACATATTATACATAATTCACACATTTAAGTTCTCTTATTACCATTATCTCATATTAGTTTTACAAATTTCAAAAATCCCTCATTTTTGTATATCAAATTAATGTATCAGCGCATCAAATTAATGTATCTCACGCTTTTATCCTAAAAAAATTTGGTCAAGCATTTCAATTTTTTAACGTTCACTAAAATTCAACTCTTATAGTAAAAACAAAAAAGTAGGCTTATGAAAAGCATGATCAAACATACATTTCATGACCTTTTTGATGTCACATGTTACATTCATGCCTAAGATACATGAAGACCACTAAAATCTTATTTTGTGCCTATATATAGAGGATATTTTCTCTTCTCATTTCATCTGAATTTTCAAAGCCATTCTAAAAAATTTCAATGAAGTCTCAGTTCCATTACTTGATCTCATTCTCTTGGGTGAGTAAATTCCCTCTTAATTATATATGTGTTTTTTCCTCTATGATATAGTTAGATAATGATATATGATGTTTACAATATATTGATTGAAAATTTCTTTTTATATATATATATGTAGCTTGCATTCGTAGTAAGTCATGCAGCGATATCTCCAGAAGTTTATTGGAAAGTAAAATTGCCCAACACGCTGATGCCTAAAGTGATCAAAGATTTTCTTCCCCACACAGGTTTTTCTTCAACTCTGGGCATTTTTGTGTTAACATTACGAATCTATATATATGCTCTGTTTGCTATTGTAAACCAAAACCTTCTACTCATGAGAGTGTAATTTGTAGATCATAATTTCAACGGTAACATTGTGCCTTGGCATCATGCTGCTACAGAGGAAGAGATTCATGAATTGAAAGTAAACCGCGGTAAAATTGGTTCTGGAATGCTCCATTGGTATTGTGCTGCTACAGAGGAAGAGATTCGTGAGCTAAAAGATGATAACAATAATTTTATTTACAAACCTTTCTTCTTCGAAAATGACTTGACGAAAGGAAATATTATCAACTTTCCCTCTTTGAAACATAAAAATGATGCACCATTTTTGCCTCGCCAATCAACCATTCCCTTCTCATCCAAAAAATTCACTGAAATTCTAAACCATTTCTCAATCGATAGTAATTCAAACGATGCTCAAATAATCAAGGAAACAATCTATCTATGTGAAGAGCCAGATCTCCATAAAGAGAAGAAATTTTGTGCAACTTCATTAGAGTCGATGGTAGATTTCATGTTATCCGAGCTAGGAACCAACAATATCGAAGCAATTACAACAGAGGTAGAAGGGGAAAGTAGTCAAATAATTCAGAGATATACCATGGAAAAAGTTGAAGAAATTGCGGATGGGAATAACATGGTGTGCCACAAAATAAACTATCCATACGCAGTGCATTATTGTCATGTTGGAGGAAGAACAAAGACGTTCATGGTATCAATGATAGGTGTTGATGGAACAAAAGTTAAAGCGCTATCAGTATGCCACCAAGATACTTCCTTTTGGAATCCAAAGGGAATACCTTTTGTAATGTTCAATGTTAAGCCTGGAACTACCCCTTTTTGTCATTTCCTTCCAAGTGATCAAATTGTCATTTTCCCTTCAAAAGAGGCCACCAATTAGGCTATCTCATAATTAAACTTAATCCTAAGAGTATGTTGTGTGATTACAGAATATATAATCATGGTAGCTATTATTTCTATTATGTCATATGATTATGAAAATGATTCTGGCTTCATGATTTATTTTTACCTTCAAATTTATTCATTTTAACTATCTGAATGTGTATTATCATGTGTCCTTCACACATACAAGGCTTAGTTTCAGTATCTAAATAGAATATCCTAAGGGAAGCCAAATGGCATTTGGATGTTACACTTTCTCCAATCATGAGTAATATTTGGGCCCTTCTGTACAAAACTAAAACTAATTACAATCAGCATAATAAAAAAGAAAATTAAACTCAACTAACATTACAATCAAAGAAAAAATAGATATGAGACTATATATATATATATATTAGATCAGAAAATATTACAAAAGAGATTTGAGGCCTGTTTTAAAACTGTAACTTGTATTTGATCCTGGAAAATCAAGTCCAAACATCTCTTTAGGACCTTTTCCTGGTTCCATGAAGCCAGCCAGCTTTGCTACCAAGTAGGCACTATCTGCAATGTGGTTCAAATCATCTGTTTTACTCCACAATTTCTCAGCCAACTGTAACCTTCTTCTTTTGCTATTGATCAAAATTCCCCACTTAACGTATAGCCCTTCTCGTTCGGCTTCGCTTAACTTTTTCTCCATTTGCTTACTCAGTATCCGTCTCTCATCTCTAATTTCTTTCTTGCTGTGAAAATGAAAGACATCATAAGTAGTAAGCATACATATAAATGGATAAATTATGAAAAGTTCATTTTTCATATGACATATATTTGCAAGGGAATGCCGTGAAATGAAGTTTCAAGTATATTACCATCCCTCGAATGACAAAGTCCTCCCACTGGCAACGGTTTTCTCACCACGTGAAAATGCGTCCTTGAGGGAGGTTAATCTTCTAATTTCAACCTCCATATATATAGCATCTGTTGAATCACCTTGGAAGAGAAGGAAGAAGTATGATCTGTGTGCCAAAGATACATTACAAGCATGCCAAAGTTCAATAATCTCTTTTTGAAGTCTCTTGAATTCGGAGGGCCAACTGTAACGACTTTTGTAATCATCTTCTGCTGGCTCAGCGTCTCTCACGCTCTTTGAAGATGTATCATGTTCTGGTTCAGCCTCCTGAGCCTATGACATACAAGGATAAATCATTAAAACAAATTAAAATAAGATTAGGTTCCCCCTATTTCTGCATTAAACAATGGACATAAGTTGCACCTATAATCCAGAATCCATCAATGCAAGTACGGTACGAATGCATATATCATAATCTCAAGGAATATCATCTGACAGTACCAAATGCAAGTTTCTATTAGATTCCGTTATTAAGTGAAGACATCTGCATAAATATTTCTGATAGGAACCTTCTCATTCCAGATAAGTGAAATAAAGGTCTTCCTCTAAGGATCTATACCCCCATGAATGATTGGAATACGAAAACATAAGACTAGAGAAATGTAAAAAGTTGCTTTCTAAGATGAGAGAGTGTACTCACCGGACAATCTTTGACACCAGTTTTATGCTGAAGCTCATCCATTTTCTTCGTCCTTGCATTGCATGCGGCATCAGCTTTGTTGATCTCCTCATCGGTTAAAGGTTTTCTTTTTGGAACTTCAAGTTCAATATTAGTGGAACCATTTCTTGAAGAACAATTAACATCAGCTCTTTTGGATTCCTCTGAGCATGGAGAATATCGATCAGTAATTATGCTAGCTTTGCAACTTGTACTTTTACATAACTTCCAATTTCTATTGCATGATAAGTCATCCTTAAGATCACATGGTGAGGATAATTTTTCTGGAGGAGCGTTTGAGGAATGAACACAAACTGATTTTTTCTCTTCATTTAACAGCAATGGCACGGCCTTTTTGTTGTCCTTGAACTTTGGTGATTCAAGGTCTTGCTTAACCCCCAAAGTAAATGACATTGTATTTCTATTGGACCTCCTACCTTCCTCGAAAAATGAAGATGACACCGCTTCTCTGTCTTCTTCAAAATGTGATGATTTCGACTCCCCATTTTCCTTGTACGGAGATGTCACTGATCTTCTGTGTCCATTTTCAAGATGTGATATTGTTCCGTGATTTGTTCTCTCTCCATTTATAATGGTTCGTAAAGCTGGAAAGCCACCATTTTTTTCAGGAAGTGAACAATTGAATACTTGTGTTCCCTTCATACTCGAATCATCTGTTTCGACACAACGAACTTCCCTGCATAGATCGTCAGAAGTCTCATTACTTTGTTTTTCAGTTTCATCCCATCCCTGACATGAATCAGTTCTGCTATTATTTGAACTGCCAACTAATAGCATTGGAAATGCATTGTTGCGAAAGATGGTTTCGTCAAATTCTGGCATGTGTATAAACTGATCCTCAGAGTTACACCTGCTATGTCCAATTGAACGTGCTCTAACACCAACATCTACATAATGAGTGTCTCTCAAAATGGAAATCTGTTGCATTGGGCTTTGATAATCTGGTGATCTCTTCACACGTAAATTTGGATAGTGTCCGAAATCAACCTGTGAAAGATGTGAAAAAAGTATCTTTAGCATAGAATAAGCAAATATATAAACTAGTAGAGTCTATTAAATTCCATCTACCTGTATTACATCATCCCCAAGAAGCTTCAACAGATCTTTAACTTGACTCTGAGCAATGTCGCGTTGCAAAATTAAGTCCTTTATCTCCTTCTCCAGCTACAGGAGGAGGAAAAGTTGATCAAGGATTCAAGATGTCAAACAGCAGTGCATTTGTACAATAATCAGGATAATGAACTTGTAATTTAAGTCGATAACGATGAGAGACATCAAATAGCATGTCAGGGGTAATGATAGACATGCTTCATTTACGAAATAAAACAACTATTAACATCCTAGATATATAATGGAGGGTACATCTGAAAATCTCACTTATCTGTATACTTCTTCCGTCATTGAATTTTGCCATCAACCGTTATATTACTTTAGTATATGATGCCGTTTATTTTGTGCTTGTACCAAAATTGTGCCTTCCCAAGTAACGGATTTCCTTAACATGTTTGCAAATACTTATTAGCGTCATCAAGATGCATTACCTGTTGTATTTGATGGTCCTTCTCTTGCAGTAATGCTTCGTAATCTGAAGGGAATATGCAAGCTCTGGGATATCTTAACTCACTTTCCAATCTAGCCAACTCCCTCTGCAAATGCTTCACTAATGTTTTATCTGACATGACGATATTCGCTTGGGCATTTGTAGTTACTTCCTTGGCACAACTTGCAAACAGTAGAGTATTCCTTGTTTGATCAACATGACTTCGTGCAGGGCAAATTGTACAGATGATGGCAGTTCTACCGTTGCCACCCAATGATGGCTGTAATATCCGTGTTAGCTTTGAATCTCGGAAAGGAATGTGGCCGGTCCTGTCCTTGCTGCATTAAGTATACAAAAAAGATGAAATAGTTTCACTTTCCAAATTCATCGACAGTGATTTTAGGCAGTATGTCATGCTTAAATCTGGTTTCCATTTAAGATTTTGATGCAACTGATTAGAAAGTTATGCATAACTTTAAGTCTTTAACACAAGCATAACAGGATTTAAGCCCTTCTTATAGACCTGTTTAAAAATCATGTTAAACTCGATTAAGACTGCAAGAAAAACAACCAACCTTAGCTTACGAATAACAGTGCCAAGGGTCAGTAAACTGCGGTTTATGTGACAGCCTTCTTTCAGCCTTGTACCAGCTGACAATGACTGAGATGCCCGCTCACTTCCAGCCAAATCGACAAAATTCTATGTTCAAATGATAAAACAATCAGCTGTTACCTCAGTACATTATTATATGAACACTCTATACTGTTCGGCATGAGAGAAACATTTTCGTACCACAGTAGCTAAAAGGGTACTCAAATCGTTGTCCCTGCCTATGTTCTCACCAGCAGAACTTTCAATTGTCTGCAACAACTTATACGTCAAAAATCGGGTTGTTTTAAAGTTCAATAGACTGTTAGACAAGAAATCTCAGCTGTTTTACCAGTCTGATGATTTGGTGAGATCTAGAGCTTGTTTCGTTCAAGGAAGTCTCCCCAATCTGTCTCTGAGCTGCAACATTTAGTCGTAAAACTCAAAACCGTGGTTATGTTTAAAAGTCATGGTTACACATTCTCTTACCTTCACAAATAGAAAGGAGATGAATCACATGGTTCCAGTCCCTCAATGTTTCCTCGGTGAGTTTCTCAATAACAGTCCCTCTCTGTTGCAATTACTCTAACATGATTTTAAAACGATACAGAAGAACACAAAATGACTATAACTTTGTTGAAAATCAGTAAATCAAACCTCTGGATCATCTAGAAGTCGGAGTGGTGTGTTGTCTTCACTAAGGAGATCTCGGACCGATTCATTGTATATCTCCATAGCAGAAAACTTCAAAACAAAGTCTCTTTCTGTGTGCTACAACAAGTAGTAAATTGTGATCATTAATAAAGCAAAGCCAAAACTCTTAACAGACAACAATTAACAATCGATCCTATCGTTACCTTGTGCACGTACTCGTAGATATCTGCAATAGCATATTCAGTTATTCCAGTCATAGTGTATGTCTTTCCACTGCTTGTTTGTCCATAGGCGAGAACACTTGCTAGTTGATACATGAATAATTTCCGATTAATAATAACTAGACATGGAGTAGATGTTCCAAAAACTATAAAAAAAAAAAACTCACAATTGAATCCTTTAACAACCGAAAGAGCAACTTCTTTAGCTGCTTCTTCATACACCTGTCTTGTCGAACAATCACTGCTAAATACCCTGTCTAAAACAAAATCATAAACCAAAATAACACAATCAGAACACTAGATCAATCACATGACAGTTAAACAAATGTATATGTATTCGATTAAATAGAGAAATATAATGTATTAACATACCAAAGGTATATACAGAAGGAAACATTGGTGAAGAGTTAACATTGTTGTAGATAATAGTTGTATCATTCACACATTCCCAATCTGCAACATCATTTCTCTCTTTTTCATTCAATGTCCTTAACCTCGCCGATACATAAATACTTTCTTCACGATCCTCCATTTTATTTTTTCTCTAAACCAAAAATCTCATTATATATTTTATTCCAAATGAAAAATAAATTATGGTAAAAATAATATTTAAGAAGATCGACTAATTTTTTTTGTTTTTTCTGGAAAAATTAAATATGATAAACTTTTGAAGAAAAAAGAATCTCTCTCTTTCTCTTTTCTCCTTTGGTTGGAATTTCTGATAATATAACAGAGAAAAAGAGAAAGAGAAGGAAAAAGATATTAAAATAAACAGTACAAAATATATATAAGAATTGAATTTGAGAAATATCACAGTATTAAATAAAAACAAAGAAAAGGCAAATAGAAAGTTCTTGTTTTACCGAAGAAAAAGGGAAGTTGGGTTTATGTTTTTTGTGCCTAATTTATCTTTCTTTCTTTTTTCTGTGTGTTTTTGCAGCCAAATTTAACCGTGAAATTATCGCCAATCATTTCATTTGGAAAGTTATTTTAGCAAATAGCCTTCTTCTTTTTTTTAACTCATATGAGCAACTTTTATTTTTTCTTTAATACTTTCTCCGTCCTAATTTATGTGGAACTCTCTTTTTTTTTTTTTATGCTTTTTTCGTCCTAATTTATGTGACACTTTCCATTATATTTTATTCGTCCGTTAATACTTTCTCCGTCCTAATTTATGTGGAACTCTTTTTTTTTCTTATGCTTTTTTCGTTCTAATTTATGTGACACTTTCCATTATATTCTATTCATCCGTCCTAATTTATGTAGCACTCTCCATTATATTTTATTCTAATTTATGTAGCACTCTTTTTTTTCTTATACTTTCATTTATGTAGCACTCTCCACTATATTTTATTCTAATTTATGTGACACTTTTTTTTTCTTATACTTTCTCTTTTTTTCTTATACTTTCATTTATGTAGCACTCTCCACTATATTTTATTTTAATTTATGTAACACTTTTTTTTATATAATTTATGTAACACTTTTTTTTTCTTATACTTTCTCTGTTCTAATTTATGTGGCACTTCCCATTATATTCTATTCGTCCGTCCTAATTTATGTGACACTTTCCATTATATTCTACTTTTTTTTCTTATACTTTCTCTGTTCTAATTTATGTGGCACTTCCCATTATATTCTATTCGTCCATCATAATTAATGTGGCACAATTTTTTTTTTGTCCATCATAATATTATATTCTATTCGTCCATCATAATTAAATTCTATTCGTCCTATTCGTCCATCATAATTAATGTGGCACTTTCCATTATATTCTACTCGTGCTTCATAAATTATGTAGCACTCTTCATTATATTCATCAATTATGTTGATTAATAAATTTTAAAATTTACGCATTGTAACTTTGAAATTAGTTGAAAGCACGCAATTGATGTACGCATAAGCAATTCATAAAAATTTCAAAATTTACGCATTGTAACTTTGAAATTAGTTGAAAGCACGCAATTGAAATTAGTTGAAAGCACGCAATTGATGTACGCATAAGCAATTCATAAAAATTTCAAACTATTATTGTTGGGTTCTCAATAAAGAGTAACCCTCCAAAAATTAGCGTATGCCACTATTTGCAATGCGCACACGGTATTCTTTAGTAAAAGGCGAAAGAATAGTTCGCTATGTGCTCATTGCGTGGCTGCGTGATTTTATCAATTGGCGCAGGAGCTTCTTTTATAGTGGTTTCTTCTTCTACTTGTTCAATTGTAGCCGATGTGGGACTAATAATCACTGTTAGCATGGGCATTCTTGGGCCATAGCAGCTCTTAAAATGGGCTGTTGGGGATTTCATGCTGGAAATAGTGGCTCAATGACTACATGACCTCAAATCTTAAATTTTTTAAAAAATATACTGAAATATATGGGAAAATTCACTTTTCTTTGATTAATAAGTTGATAGAAATAGCATAAACATAAATCATAATACATAAACGTGTTATTAACTTAGTAGCCATTTGTCAATGAGGTAGAATTAACGTTTGGACATTGCTGATTTCATATCATGTAATGAAATCCTAAATTCTCCATGGAATATTTCAAATACAAAAAGCTGACTCACGAGTTTATATTTTAAATTACATGGGATGGCAAACATTCATAGCTAATTATATTATAGGGGTATAGTTTAATTTACTTACCTTATATAGTTATAGTTTATTTTTGTTTGCTATATTTAATGGGGTCCTCAACCTATTATATAACCAATGGTATAAAAATATTATTTTCTAATTTTGTATATAATTATACACAAAACTATTTTCTCTCTCCTTTTCACATTCCAAAATTTTCTCCTACATTTAATACTCTAGCTATCCGGTTTGAAATTCAAATTTTTGTCCAAAATTAGATTACTCCCTCCCGAAGTTGAAGTTCCCTCCCGAAGTTGAAGTCAATTTCGTAAATACTACTTAATTTTAGTTGTTTACCTCTTCTTCTTTTTTTACTTATTCAAAATTTGTATATGTGTTCTGTTTATTATTTTTTTCATATATTTTGATGAAATAATCGATTTTTTGTTCTTGATAGATCTAAAATTGGTCACACAATGAATGAATCATCTTCATCTTTGAGGATTACCAGAGGTATTCCTTTGCATGTCAATGTTGTTGACATTTTACCATCGTTTTCAATGGGATTAACTCAAGATTTTGGGTTTGATGTAGGGTCATTGGAAAAAATGAAATCAAGTTATACAAGAACAAACAATGGAAGAGCTTAGATCAAAGAAAAAAAACGACCCTATGGCATTTCAACAAATTATTAACAATGCCAAAGCTAGATGCATTAAAATAGTACAAGGAAGAAGAAAGAGGAAAGCTGTAAACATTGAATCAGAGGAAAATGCTTCTGAAGTTGTCAGATCTGAAGAACATAATATTCATGAGGTACTGTATTAAAACACAAAGTTAGATACAATTTTTTGGTTAATTAGATGTCAATATACAAAAAATATTACTTAAATATTGTATATAGTATAATTGCATGTTTAGTAATTGTATATAGTATATTGCATATTTATGTTATTTTTGTTTTTTGTATATATATACAAAAAAGTAATTGGACTTAGTTATACAGATGAATTTTTTTTATATATGATTAGAATTTGTATATTCTATTAGTTATATACAAATTATTGAAGTTAGTATATATTAAGTTTATATACATATACAAAAATTGATATGTACATGTCTATTTTAATAGCTGGTAGTAGGGAATTGTATGTTAAAGGCTCATTATTATTTTTTATATACATATGTACACAAAGTAATTGGATTTAGTTATATAGATGGGAAAATATCATATGCGATTATAATTTGTATATTGTAGTAGTTATATCCAAATTATTGAAGTTAGTATATATTAACTTTATATATTATTGGAGTTTAACTAATATATTCATGTACATATATAAATATACAAAAAAAGGTAAGTTCAAATATATATACAGAATTTTTTTTTTTGAATTTGGACGTTTAGCTTAAAAAAAGGGATGTTTTCCTAAAATTGTGGCATTATCTAAATTTATTGTTAGCATATTTAACTTTTCAGTTACAAACCACTTTTTAAAATATAATTGTATAAATAAAAAAAAATTATATAGAAAATTAAAGATACCTAAAATAACTAAACTATACCCATATAAAGTAATTATGTAAACTATACCCATATAATGTTATTTAATCTAATAAGTTTGCCATACATGAAATTTTCCCATTGTAAAAATAACTCACATGTAATTTTCATGAAATTTTCCCATTGTAAAAATAACTCACATGTAATTTTTATATATATATATATATATATATATATATATATATATATACTAGCCATTTATTTTATATGTAAATAAAACTTATAATTTATATCATTACCTTTTAAATAGATTAAAACGATTATTCTTTTCAATATAAAATTAATTTTTTTCAATCAATTCTTAATTTACCATTTATATTCACCGAAGTTATTATTTGTTCTGATTAAATTAATTACTACTTCATTAAAATCAATGTTTCATAATAATAATAATAAAAGAAAATCATCATTATATTGAGCGGACAAGACTATTAGTTACTTATCTTTTATTGCGGTTGATATAATTTTCTTGGATTACGAAGGAAATTCATTAATATCTATAAGCTTTAAATCAAGTGAATATAAAGTTGATAAGAAGTACAAAATAATAGGTAAATCTCATAATTGTTTTGCTAAAGCCTTTAGGAACGTTAATTATCATTGGTACCAATGTCGCTATAGGTTTTAGCAACATTTATAGCGCAAATTGTCTCAAAAAAGAAACACTTAGTGACATAAGTTATTATGAGTGAAGTCGTCAACAACAAAAAGTTTCAAGGAGAAATCATAAAACATAGATAGGCACATAATGTACATATGCACCAGAGAAATTGAACTTATGGCATTTGGCACACTGCTGCTTAATCTGGAGAAGAATTCAATGAATAGCATAAAACTGAACTGAGTAGCATGAATGTCAATAATTGCTAAAGGTACATGTTATATGAACAAACACAATATTCTTGAGGAGCTAGCTATAAGCTTTTATGCACCGCGACTCGATCATGAAAACATGTAGTAGTAGTAGTAGTACATACTTTCTAATATCTTAGTAGACATATCCTTTCACAAACATTCCCTCCTTGGCCTCCTCAGACTCACCTTCACCGGTGTATTTGCCTAGTTGCGCGAGAGAGTTGGCACTTGCTCTAGTAAGCAAAGCTTTCTGAGCTGCCTCAACATTTTCTGGTCTTCCACCCCATGTCTTGAGACATGTGTTCTGAAGGGCTCTTGCATATGAGAACGATACGTGCCATGGGTTGGGAGATTGGTTCATCGCGTTCAAGTTAAGAGTAGCTTCCACTTCAGATTGTCCACCAGACAAGAACTGTACATAGCAAACCATGTTGGAATAAAATAGTTAGTTGTCAGTGTATATAAGTTAAACCCGTTCTGTAAAATACGACTTTGTTTAGGTACTTACCATGATTCCAGGGACAGCAGGGGGAATTCTTCGTTGGAGGAGCTTGAGGGTATAATCAGCAACTTGTTCTGGGGTGGCCCTCTCCTTGCATTCTGCTCCCGGGGTGACCATGCTAGGCTTCAACAAGATACCTTCAAACATGACATTGTTTTCGGCCAGGTAGAAGAAAACTTCAGCCCACACCTGTTGAGCAACCTCAAAGGTCCTATCGATATTGTGTTCACCATCTAGCAAAATCTCTGGCTCAACAATTGGTACTAACCCATTGTCCTACAATAAT